GGCATCGGAGTACCCCCTCATGCCCGAAGAGTTGGTCTCTTATACAGCCATGCAGAGTGCTGACCTCCAGAATGCTACATTGCCGAAGGCTGCCGATGAGCTATGGCAACCGAGTCCACCACTTCGTCGACAGATCAGAGACTATATTCAGGCCAACCAGACACCTGATGGGGAGGTCAATGCGACGTTCTGTGTGACTTGGGAGTTTGGTCACTCCCAACCTGGCAGTGTACGGTCCTCGGGCTATCATTGCGTGCAGTCAGTGGAGCCGGCACAGCAGCTTCTGGATGCGATGGCCTTGGTGAACGGTAGCCAGCTACATATAGATGGGCTCTTACCTAGGGCGCTTTATCTGAATGGCCCATGGGCAAGCCCTCCAGGGTCATTCCGCCAGTTCACCAACGTATCGTTGAAGGTTGAAGAGGAGGACTCTCAGATATGGTGGTCTCTGGCTGAGAACCCCACATTGGCGGTGGTCAGTGAGAGGGCGGTGCCGCCCAGTGCTGGAGGAGGTGCATCGGCATCGTCGACTCTCAGCGTCATCAGCCTCTATGTGGGCGTGGTGCTCACTATAGGACGCTTCTTCAGGCTGGTCATCCAAGACAGCAGTAAACGTATCATGTTTGAGGAGCTCCCATCGGTAACGTATCTCCTCCAGCTCTGTCAAGGAGTCCAGATCGCTCGTATGCGCCACTCACTAGAGGCTGAACGTGTGCTCTACTACGAAGTTGTCACACTCTACCGTTCGCCAGCTAAGTTGCTGTCGGTCACTGGAAGCACGAGTCATATGCCTGATGTTCTTGTGAGCAAGCGAGCCGCGGCTCATGCAGCGTTGAGACGGCGAGGTGAACCACATGGCTCTGGAACCTCGGCTGCTGGTGCTCCTCTACCCCCTGCTGAGGTCTGATCGGTTGGACGCTCCCGTGGTCCGTTGAGGCCCGGATGTGCCACCATCTCGCTGACGACCTTTTTTTATACCATTGGGTGTACCGTCTTGGCCCCTGACTCAACTCGAGTCGATTATATACGATTAGTGATAGTTTATCCCTGCAAGAGCACGCTATATGTTGCGCAGAAGAAGTCTGGGGAAAAGAGTTGATCGCGTTAGCATGTCGGCTTGTCCCGCGTCGCGGTCAAGCTATTCCGAGCGGCCGTTGGCCGCTGTGTTCCTTAGCTTATTTGAGACACTCGGGTCTGACACACTATGCCGGTGTTGGAGTATATGCCCGCTTCCCTCAGCTGAGCTCAGGAGTCTACTTACGGAGTCGGGTAGAATTTCTACCCGAATTCGTACTGAGCTTCTACCGTAGAAGTGTAAAAAACCCACAAGAATTCCCAGAAATTTCCTCAGAATTCCCATATTATCACCAATACATATTGGATAATGTATTGGTGATAATACGCATTTCCCCACAGTGTTGGGCCCACACTGCACCATGGTCACCGGGGCCGCGATGAGAGGTGCTGTTGATCCGAGTGGGAATGACGCCAGCAGCAGTAGTGGCGAGTCCATGGAGTTACTCTGACGCTAACAGTAATCAGTCCTTAGGTTGATACTATGCATTCGCAGCTACACTCAACAGTTGTTCATGCTTCAACTGTAAATGCTCATTTCTCCTGCTAAAAGGACGTTCACAACGTGGAGTGCACCGTTCTTGTATCCATCTCTGGCCAGTCTCCTCGCCAGGGAAGGCCCAATGCCACACACTCTGGTCATGGCTGACTCCATAGAGTAATTCCTACAGTATGTCAGCCGAAACTCCCCCCAAAGACCGCCATAGGTTTTCTAGCAACGCAGGCAGCATTTTGCGGCACAGTTACCTCCTCGGCGTTTCTGGTGTGTTGTTCGGCAGCTGTACAGGGGTTAGTGAGCACCAGTCAAAGTGAGGCTCTCGTCAACACTGTGTGTGTGCTATCTATGTATTAGGGCGTGGATGAGGTCTTCGCTGCGAATGTCGATGTGTTATAAGCGTGGGGGCTGTCCTGTGGTGCCGAGCTGTGATATCCTCGCTGCTGTGGAGGAGCTGAAGATGCGTCTCGGTTACACAGTGTGCATCCTAGGTGACGGCTACATCACTGATGACAGTTGCCAGGTAGTGACTTCGTCATGTCTCGGACGTTCTTGTGGAGTTCAGATCCCCCGTTACGACTTGACTCGGTCACAGACGACTAGCAAGTTCCTAGAGGCTCCCAGGTTGCTTCTGATTACTGGCGGGGAAAGTCAGAGGCGAGCGGATGATCTACTGTACAAGGCTGATGTTTTATGCGAGGTGCCCTAGGTCTTTCCAAGCCTCTAAGTTATCAGTCTCCTCAGGTCCCAGCCTTGCCATACCGTCACTTCAGCTACAACGTCGGTTGTGCTGTTACATTAGCTCTTTTTGAGCGGTTCAAGATTACAAGGAGTTGGCCCAGACCGGTCACTATCCCCCCGACGTGTGCTTCTGTCTCATGATGAGCTGTCTTATCAGGTCTCACTGTGTCGGCGGTCTTATGCATGGTTTCTGTCACTTCCCCGATATAGAGTTATCTACCGAAGGAATAGCAAGAGACCTACGGGCTGGGGAGTGAACTCTCTAGTCTTGCCGTTCGGAGTGAAATTTTTGCCACCAGTGACGTGGTTGAGGTCGAGCATAAGCTCCTGTTAGATCTAGATAGGACCAGCGGTGTAGACGTCGCAGAGCGGTTCCTTCAGCCGTTTGCCTGTCTCGCAATGTTTGCTCGTGAGGTCGGCTTCCGGATGGGCGGTTCGCGCGCTCGACGGCGCTTCTCGGCTTGGACCGACAAGTACACTAACGTTCCTCTTTCTGATGTGCTCCGTGGAGGCGACTCTGGGATTCAACCACACACGCTGATCCTTATGAACGACGCAGAGTGAGTGCTCGATGATGAGTTGATGTAGTCCCTGTTGTCAGAAATCCAGGAGTTGTAGCTAGCGTGGTACGGAATTGCCACCTGCTTGGGGCCTCTGCTGTGTTACTGGGCACCACCAACGGATATAACTACACACAGTAAGTGGAGACTGTGGAGTTTAAAGATCTGGGAGTCCAGGGTTCATCGAATATGCCTAGTCCAAGACGCTACTGCATCTGCCTATGATCTCGTGAGCTAGTGGCTTAGGCTTTATGACTGGGTTTCTAGGTCCTTTATCAAGAGTTGCCTGAGGCATTCTATGGCGTATTGCTTCGGTGGGCCGCACCTGATCGTCGGTGTCGAGTCCGCTTATGCAACTCGATTGTTGTCCACCTCCTATGGCTACACTATCGGCTCGCTGGTCCGGGATGGTCCCACCTGCGCTACCGTAAGAGTGGAGGCGAGCCGATCGTTTGGTCTGGGGTATTTCTATGGGGCCGAGCACAATATCGCGATCTGATGTCCTCTTTGTAGGCCATACCCACAGTGGACTTGAGCAGCGATCCTCCAGACACAGGCTGGATGGGCTGCTCGCACCTCCTCATGACTGTGAATGCCTCCCAGTGTACAGCTAGTGATCCCCTCGAGGAGTATGCAGATTTCCACATGGAAGTAGGCAGTGATTTAGCTGCGCTGGTCTGCC